TTTAAAGAACCACATTTGCATACATTTTGGACAAACGGTTGTTGTGTTCCAACTTGTATGATTGTAATGCGTGTTTTCTAAGTGTTTCATTCGGTAGTGCAATCAGCTATGAGTATGTTTCAAAGCAACGGACTAATGCCATTGGAACCGGTCGCGTTTGCCTCGTTAGGAGAGCACGCACACTCCAAGTCGTTATCTAGAAGGTGGAATATTTTGGGCAAAATTATTTTCAATGTATATCAGAGCTCAGGCAGTAAATATTCCATATGTAACTTTAATTAACCACTTACAAATGGTTCTCACTCAAACCTCATAAAAACGTGATACCTGCTCGTTTGGAAAGTGTTGCCGAGGAGGTTCATCTGCCATGGTAGTGGAACCTAAGAACCACTTTGAATGTGGATTTACAGAGCAACCTATTTCACTATAACGTGTAAAGTTTTTTTGGACAACTTGTTTTTGTCAAATCGTCAATGATAGGTTTACAACGTCTGCTACATAACGTTGATGGAAGAATCGTATGACAACAATCAGATGCTGAGATATGTTATTGTTGGCTGAGCTTAACACCCATCGTGCGCTTCACAATCTTGACCAAGTGACGAGCTAGGTGATACAACCAAGGTATATCCTTCAGATTGTCATGAAGGGCAGACACTTTCCAAATTAAGCTAAACGTGTTATCGTGGGATCTGTAATGGAGTATCAAGAGCCGGGCCGAGTTCCTTATGGTCTTCTGGATTCCCAGAGGTCACTTCCGAAGCAAACTTCTATGCGTCGGACGCCTGCTTTATTCGGCCAGGAAGATCATCATGGTCTATACGCGGTACATTCCAATGTTAGGGTATTACCGAATAAACTGTCGAGTATATGTGGTTTGAAGATCTCCCGCGGGGGCGATTGTATGAGGAATAGCTAATTCTGCTTTGATCGTCAAGTACAAAGGAACTGGAACGTAAATCTCAGTTGTAATGTTCCTCCTCTGTCTAGTTCTTATATTGTATGTTATGTTTTACTTTTCTGAGACAAATGAGATTCACTCTACAAAATGGCCTTTGTTAAAAAATGCTTACTCCCTGGTATGAATATAGAAGAATAAAAATCATTCAGCTATAACACCTTGCCAGTGCTCAGCTGTCATGCACCCAGATGGAAGCAAGATGGCTTGGATACTGCCAGGTTGCCCAAGCCTAGACTGTGGAAGTAGGGTTTGAACCACGGACCGTCCGGTCAGTAAATATGCGGTCTAACCACAGAGCCACCTCCCCCTCATAAAATAATCAAAATCATCGTTTGTGTTTGATGCATTACGTATGACTTATGTGTGACGGTAGCAGAGGGAATGTTAATGCGGACACTTCAATACCAGAATAATAAACCTTTAAACAGCAGACGAAATTCACAACGATTGCTTTTAGCCACCAGAATACAGTGTTGACTTCTTCAGACTAGTCCAGGCAACGACAAAATGGTAACCACGAATTTAGGTAAGAAAAATATGTCGGCCTTGGAAAGTCAGTTTTCAGAAAGACATTCTGGAAAACTGGAAAAGGAGAAGCGCTAGTTAAGTTGTCATTGTTTTCTCCCCGTTCTCATGAGTCAGAGTGGGTTTTCTAACGAACGAAAATCGTATTATTGAAGAAGTGCCAACGCCTGATGTGAATTCATGTGAAATCAAACCTCGCCGGTCAACCACCAAGAACCTACCATGATCAATCATCCATTTCAACCTGAACTAGTCTGCCTATTACTACATATTAGTATGGGTTTCCGGATGCACGTACTCCGGAAAATATCCACCGTTCATTTATACTCATTGTCAGTGTAACTTTGGATACTACTGATGAGGTACGCGAGTAGTGTGTGGCTTACTTGAAGCTCCACCTCGGGTCTAATTGAAGGTGGCGTCCATTACCAAACTTGTGGAACTGCTTTGCAACGTTCGTTCACAGTCGCGTGATAGTTCAGCAATATCCATGAAAGCTCAAGAAGATGCAAGAGAATGTTCAGTTTTTAAAAACTATGTGTGCATTAGACGTTTACTTCCCTATCCAAAATTGGTAACTTTTTACTTTATGTTTTCTAATAAACAACTTCATGGTGTACGGCTTTCCTGCTTATATCAGTTTTTATTTTACTGCACAGGTGATGTGATAGTGGTGTCACAAATTTATCCACCCAACAACCGAAGCTTGAGAGGGACACTTGTTCCATATTTTGCTCTGTTTAATACAAATCATGAGTACATATCAGAAGTCGACCACCTGGCGCTCGGGTTCGAACTTCACACCCCACTTTGGTACAGATCGAGTGCTCGACATGAAGAAATGCAAGCATTTTTCACTTAATTTTGTAAGTAAGTTGAACTTGTTTGGGAGCTTACTGCAAGTGGACGTCAAACGTTGTTTCTTACTCTTACTGATTCTGGTATTTATACATGGTGAGATAAGATTTCATATAATATGTATTCACAGCACAGAGTTGGCCAGTCTATTCAGAACTCCAAACTAATGACATAGGAATTATTGATTTCCTCCTGGTGGATAATGTAAAGTTTTAAATACCCACCAGTGACTAGATTTTAACGAATTTCAATAAACAAGCTGTAAGTTTTGTAAATTATGCGCGATAACACAACTTGGGGTAAAGCCGCTCCCTCCATAGCTCATTGTGTAGAAACCGACAAACAAAGATCATGGACTTAATCCTGATTTAGTCCGTTATACTCCTCATATGTCCGAAGCGGATGTGAAGTCCAATAGTATACGCGCCTGTTAAAATTTTAGCTCACCTTTTCAACACTAGCGTGAAATTCGTTGCAACACCTTATCGGAATGTATTCACCTGGAGAATAGCTTTATCGCGACATGCATTGATTGTGTCCAGGAATCAATTCGGCCATGTTGAGCTACGCGTCGTATTGGAGATATTCCAGCGAATTCGGAACTATGAAGGCCATTACAAACAACTTGACAGAATGGCAAAACTAAAAAAATCAAACCAAGCCGCATCAGGCTGCACTGATTCACAAGGGGATACTCTACTAACAAAGTAAGTAGGGGAAACTTCACCAATCCACAATACATTCAGAGTGAACCCACGGGACGAGGAGGCCTACTTGGATATGGTGGACCAGATGTGTGATGCCAAATATTGCGAAAAACAGGAAAGGATATATGGATACAAAACCAAAACAACAAACCAAGTAATCCTGATGTTAACAATAATAATCGAAAAAAAAATCAATAACAAGTGTCTGACGACACGAAGCTGACGCATTCACACACGCTACTTATTAAAAGATCAACGGTGAATTTGGTGGGCGAAGTGAACGGATGTTTACTTAGTATTCCCCTCTGCTTGAGATGTGACGTAGAAATATGATATGCCGCAAACTATCTGCTCACACTGCACTGCCAAGACATCCTTAGTTTCACTAATGGTCTGCTTTACACAGTCCGCAATGTAGCATCAATACGTCCTTCGGGTTTATACACTACGGCGCAAAGATATATTGAATTCTTGCAGATATGTTGATGCTTCCAACCGCCCTTCTTCAGGGATCAACATTCTTCTGAGTTTTACAATCATCTGTTCAAAGAAGACACTTTGTTTTCAGCACAATATATGACTAAGGGGGTCAGTGTCATAACCTTGAAATAGGATAAATCCCTAATGCGCCACTTGGTGAACTAATATGAGACTTGTGGGTTGCCAGTGAAATCCATTACCACTTTTGCGTCAACCTTCATTCATTGACGCCGTTCGAAATCAAGATTCTTCAGTGCATCCAGTTGCGCCTGGATAGGGGAATATCACTACTGGATAGTAATGACTTTTGTGGTATGCTGTATCAACAGGAGTAACCTTACCTTTAAACATTTCAAATTAGGCTACAAATGGTGATCGATCCTAGCCTCAGTTGTCCGTCACCAAGAATTTCATTAAAGATTTGCGCCCTTGATTTTAGAGTTGCTTGAGCTCAGCTAACAGAAGAGCAGTACGTCAGCCAGGAAACTAACCAACTGGACGCCAGTACGCGCACATATCATAATCAGAAACCCCTGTGCTCATTCCTTAAGTGAAGTTGAAACTAGTGAAAGTGCAATATCTAGACGATTAAACCGAACCCCGACTTAGTTGGAGTCACTGAAAGCTATGCTGGTGCGGGTGAGTATAACAAATCCGTTTGAAATGAACTCGGTGATGTAGTAGACAACCTGTGCATTCAGCCATCAAAACTTCATATTGTCGATAATGATTTTCCAACCATTAAACCCATGTCGCAATTAGTGGGCCTAAACAGAAACACATCTAAGCAGAAAAACCATGGTGATGAGTTAGTACCAGGAAGCAATTGAGCTAATAGTTTGATAGGAATGGCTAATCATTGTTCACTTTGATTTACCAGGATAGTGTGACACCTGTCATGCGATCCAGATCCGACAGGCAACAGTCCTAAAGCAACTTGCGTGCACCAAGACCGAGGTTTGAGACACCCTCGAAACAAACAAAATAAAGAGTAGATCAAACGGAACGAAAGATCACGGCGACAAAATGTGGAGTTTCAATCGTACACCAGTCAAATCTGTCATTCTGAAAACTAATTGGCAGGAAATTCAATTAGCCAGGTCACAAAAAACTTTTTCACAAGCCCTGTTAGGTTCTGGCAAGAATAACCTATTACCTCTTCGCGGGAGGGGGGGTCAATGCCACCTCGGTTGGTGATGAAACGTTCGCCATCAAATTTCCCAGCTCAGTGAACAAGCCAACGACCATCTACGCTACATCCATAGAAAACCTTTATTCCTGGTTAGGCACCTATCCATGGTATTGTCTATTTTGGTATTCCTATTGATACCACGTAAGCTCAAGATTTTGTACGTGGTTTTGAATGCTTTCACTGGACATGTGATGCATATTGGTTGTTGATTTCTTGGAGAAGCTGGTCACTCTGTCTGCATACTTTTCATCTTGTGACATATTCAATGTGTTTTCAGGGAGCGGAATGAAGAGTACTGATTTATCAGTGGTTGCTTCTGAGCTATTTTACCAGCTGCTAACTGGGCTCATTTTGGGTTACGACTGGTGGCTCGGCCGGATGGTTCTATTGGTTGGTTTGATACCCTGCGTCCTAATTTTTCGGTGGCCCCGGTCCTTGGAGCTACAACCAAAAATGCAGGAAACTCCTTGCAGGCCCATCAAAGAGGGTCACACAATGGAACCCAGCAAGGTTAAGGACGAGGCCTCCATGTCCGACGAGAGCAGGGTAGGTAAAGCCAAAGGTCCGCGGGGTCATCGATCACTTGGAGCCCGGGATTACAGGCTAATCCGTAGAACCAACCGATCGAGCAGTCGAGGGCAGCCTCAGCTAGAGCACTTAAGTTGACGCACAAGCACCAACACTTGACACAACCACAATCCCATGACTAAGCCTCACTCCGTTCCCCAACAATGTACTTATTATGTCAAGTCAAATGATACGTTTGGAATAAAATAACTAGACTCAGTGAACAAACCAGTGATCGCTTGAGTCATCTGGGCCACCAACATTCTCCTCAGTCGTGCACATGCTGTTGCAGTCGGCTATGCAGAGGCTTCTTTCAGGAGACTGCGTGTTACTCTAGTCAGATGCTGATTTTCTGTGTTTTACTGCATTTGGTTCCACCTAAGCAGCTAATTTTCTGTTTCAGATAAACTCTGCGTTCATAGGGCCATATCAGGCAAATCCAGACTAAGTATTGCCCTCAACAGATGCTTCTGACACACAAACGCACAAGCACCTTGGGGCTGCTTCCTGCTAGTTACCGTCTTTGTGAATTTTATCCCTGAATGTATCGACTACGCCAGCATATCCGAAACGCTGATTCTACCGATCCGAGCTACCTTATATTCTCTTTGAAATTCCAAAGGTCTGATGAGACTACTTATTCACTTGTTTTATTTTCCCTCATGATCGAAGAGTACATATAAATCAAGATTTCTGTGAATAGTTTTAAACGAAACATTGTGTCCTTTCAGGAAGAGATGTATCCAAACTAGTTGTTGGGCTTAGATCCAGCAACTCTTTAGAATATCAAACACCGAATCCTAGCAATATTGTAGAGTTTCAATTGGCTCATAGCACACAATGATGACTGGATTCTGCATATCCAGGTTTTTACAGCTTGCCGTTGAAGCGAGTTTACGGATTTCAACAAAGTTTCATGCGGTAGCTTCTTTGGATTACATCCCGCAAGACACTGGAGAGCACTCTCACCGATTCTGAGTTTCCGTTTGCGAAAGTTTACCATTTAGGCGCTGTTATAACTAAGTATATCCCCATATATATGGATAGGTCTGTATGGTTTTGGATCAAACGGTAGGTTTGGCAAAGCCCGTAACAATTTATTCACCGATCTTTTCACCTAAGCACTTAGAAAGTAGCACCATAAAAGCCAACCGCTTACAGTTTACCAACTGTTTTATTACCCAATGGTTTTCACATACCAGCCACTATGGTAATACATACTACCTTCAGAACTCTACATTAGCGCCTTTTAACTACGACGAAGAAGGCAGGTGTTGGTCGATGGAGAATCTGCCGTGCAGTGTCTCCAGCCACTCCGCAACTCGCTCCCGAAAAGGCAAGCTTTTTACCCTTCTGGTCCACAACCCAAACTAGCCGAAGAGGTATCAGGAGTGTTCCAATTGGGATGGTAGCGAAAGCGCACGTCGGCTTTAGCTAACGCGGTTGCGTTCATTCACTGCAAGCCACGCATGAATGATCAGTGCACTGATCCATTACCATGGGGTTGATTCAAAAAGGAGAGAGTAAACTGTCCAACCTATTTATACAAACCAGGTCGATGTCAACCTCGGCAGTCACAGTTTGTCGTGCTTGGGGAGATGTGTGTAACACATTCTAGTTCACAGTGGATTGGCCCAGTAAGAGCTGAGTTGGTTTACACTGTTTAGTGCCTTCTGGTGACCTAGTATAGCGTCAATGCCGCTGAGATTTCCCCATTTTGAAACTTAATCACATGATGAATGTATGTGACATTCATTTGTTTTCTCAGAGCTAGGTCAGTTGGTGTACATACTCAATGTTAACCGGACTGACAGACTATTTTTGATTAAATGTTTGTATTAGGTTGGTGGGTACCGGGAGTTCTAACTGGTCAACACATAGGTGACCCTGAGATTTGCCTATGTTGCTTCGATGCAGTGGACGGTGCTGTTTACACACACCTTTAGTTTCTGCCAATGTACTTACTGTGGAAACCGGCCTTTCGGCTTTGCAGTAAGCATGTTAGCCTCATGTTTGAGCTATCTGTTCTTTGTACGTAGTAGTACGTCGTTCAAAGAGCAGGTTGACTGGACAGATCCCGGAGTATTTCGCTTCAAGTAATTCCTTTCCATGTCTTCTAGTCCTGCTAAGTAATACTTCCCTAGTCCTTAAGCAAGGAAGCCAGGAGTGGCGGGTTGTGTCTTCCGGCATAAAACTCGTTACAATATACCCGGCTGGTGTGACGTATTGGACTGATTTTCCCTTTCGGCTATTATCATTCGTCAATGTGATTAGTTTTCACAACTTAGCCTCGCTTCAGCCTCTATCACGATTCCTGCATAGTGTAGTTGTCTTACTGTGCATTCAGATTGAGCTTAGGTTACCACTCGGTGTTCGGTTGTCTACCCCTGTTGTACTTTCCAGTCGCTACTTCGTTTTCTTCTACGAACTCACCCTAGAAATTCTGTGGATTTCCACTGTTCTGGACTTCTCTGAATTGATAATTTGGATGTGTGAATAATCTGTTCCTTTTCTCGCCTAAACAGACTCGCGGTGCAACTATTGTTGAAGTTCGGGGGACCACTGATGTTCTATTATATCAATTACTCCCTAATTACCTAGCTCCGGAAATCCCAGGTAGTGATGATCCAAAGCCGCTTTCAAACCCAGTTCTAAATCTGATAAGCTCAGTGAGCATCTAATGTCCATTTTGTACTCAATTGTGTTGCATGCTGGCGAGACTGTTATCTACGTGGAAAACCTACCGTTTTGACTCGAAAATTTACGTTATAAACAACCAAGGTTTCTGCTATGCTGCCTCAGCCTAAGTCCAGATGTTGACGATCCTACTAAAGTATTGTTCAGCTAGTGACAAACATACTGCTTAGATTTGAGGCTTGTGTCCTGCATGGAAGTCCAACAACCTGCATTTGCTTGCGATTGCATGACCTCCGTTGTGTTTGAATTGCTCAAGTGTAATTTCGATATTGCTTCAAGCTCTTTGGCGACTAGGATGAAATTTGTCGTAACGTCATGCAGAAATACGATTTAAACGTCTTCTAAAGCGACTAGACATCATCTACCTCGCTTGCAGGTAGATTTTATGTACGGATGTAGAAAACTAGTGGTGTAATCTCGTCTACATGTATTTTATCATTTCGAAGGATGGAGGTGCTTGGATGATAACAAGTGATCGAAATGGAGCCCCTTTTGTTGCTGGAATCGTCGGCCTACATTCGCTACTATTTCCATTTACTCATCGAATACGCGATTTGCGGTTTTCTGACTGATCAGGCTCTAACTGGAACCTCACCACATACCAATTGGGCTTCTCAGAAGGTTTCAAACTGTCCATGGCTACGATAACTCGTCTGACGTTGTTAACTGTGTGTATCACCTTTTGATAGCCGGTTAAGAGTTTGTTGGGTCTTTTCAGACATCTCGACTGCTGTGAGGTCGTGCTCAAAACGACTATGGGAGTTAAAGTTGAATCCTTTGGTTGAATCCTTAGAAGTCGTAAGTGGTGAGCTTCAGGGGTTTAATTTTTAACTTGTGACCCTGGTAACGTATGCCCTGTGCCCGGTCATTGTATTAGCAAACGTGTCCCAGCGGCAGGAAGGCGATTTGCTTTGCTTTCGTTGACAAGCATCAGTTATCATCAATAATTTCACTGCAAATCTCTATATCGTTTTACTAGAGTCCCGACAACTGAAACGTCTAATACCGCTCAGTTGTTACTAGGGAATTGGAATACATCGCGAGATGGTATAGATACTAGCGAGTGTAGAACTTTTGACCGAATACTTTCTCTCAGTGACGTGCCTCCGTGTCCGTTGGAAGCAAGAACCGATTTGCCATTGAATAGAAATTTCGTAGCTCATAAGATACTGATGGTGGTTAGTTTGCTCGATAGCTAGGCAAGTACACCACCACACAGCGCATCAACAGTGTTCGCTACTTTCTGCTCTACAATGACGTGCTGTTGCTGAAACCTCAGTCGTTGATGAATGGTGTGAAACAGCAGGAAAAAAAAGCCTTCAGAATATTAATTTGTTTCGTTCCGCGCTTTGGTCCGGTTTAAATCCGAGTCCCTTTTTTACTCTGTCTATGTGACTCGAAGCGTTATTACGGGTAGATTTTGATAAAAACTCTCTCATTTCCGTCATTCAGTTCCTTGAAAACAATTTCAAAAACTGATGCGTTCCACGTTAGACTCAGCTACTTTAGGTTTTCTCGGTAATACGCTACCCGACTGCCAACGTGCAAATTTGGTACGCAGTTAGTTTACGTGGTGTTTACGGAAAATTCCAAGTTTCCCCAACACTTGTTTGGACGCAGTCGTCACCGTGTGGACACGGTGACAGATTTGTCAATATTACTATCAAATTTGTACTTCCTCCACCGCGCACGCAAACGGATATCAGAACAAAACCAACATGACTGGTCTTTTTTATCCATTTGAAAGTCCCATGTTGCATTGTAAACTTTGCCGACGAGGGCCGTAAGGAAACTATTTTTCACACCGGCTGGAACACTTCCGACAGAGAAGTACAAAAATGCTTAGGACAGGTGATCGCAATGCAGGGCCGACGTGTAACATTTTGTCTCCGTTCTCCGGAAACACCCACTGACTGTCCAGTATCGATATTTGCCAAGAACTTTATCGACAGTCTAATATAGGTGTTTTCAGGGGCTATTTTCCGCCAGAGTGGAACAGTTTGCACGGGGGTGATATTATCAATTAGAAAGTGATAGCCTACTAGGCTGAGTACCCGTCGAACGTTTAAGAAAACATAATATTTTATGACGGAACTTGGTCCCAACTCAATGCCTACCTGAATTTGGAATTTGGAGTAAACGATAGAGCCGACTGCTAGAGCGGCGCGTGTTAGGCCTCTTTCAATGTGTACCTCAAGTACGATGCCAAACCTGTATTTATCTGCGCCAGAAAGTAAATCCTGATTTCCAAAGCAGAAGTTCCATTACTTAAAAATGCCATC